CCAACCGCGCCCAGGGTGGTGAGCCCAAGGCCCGGGACACCAAGTGGCCGCCAGCAGAAGGCAGGGATCCGGCACAGGAGCCGTGCCCCGGACAGGCCGAGGACCACCGGGGCTCCTAGCGGCCGCCTGCCACCAGCACCCTCTCAGGACCTATAAAGGCTACTTTGTTACAAACGCAGCCTCTGAAGCACATCAGGCGGTCCAGCCGCCTGGGACCCTCCCCTGGGGGCTCCCCTGGGCGCCCCCTTGTCCCAATGCCTTTCTCTCTGCACCCCCCACCCCCCCCACTACTGGGACCTGTCCTTGGGAGGCACACGGGTGGAGGGATGGGGTGGCCTGTCCGGCAGGAAGGGGAGACGACCCCCCTACTCTGCTCATCCTGGGGGCTGCCTCCTGGGGAAGCCACCGCTCCTGGGCTCCCCTCCATCACCCACGGACCTTCCTGCAGCTGCGTGACCCCTTCTGCTTGGCTCTGCGACCCCCAGGAAAGGCGTCTGGTGTTCCCCTGGATCCCCAAAGGAGGGCTCCCTGAAGCCAAGATTGTTCCTCAGAGCCCCTGCCCAGGCCTCCCCCCATCCTCTCCCTCCCCTCAGCCCCAGTCGCAGCTCCCGCCTGGGCCTTCGACCAGCAGGGCCCCAGGGCCCTGCACTCTCCAAGCCCTGAGGCCCCTGACTTCCGAGCAGGCGGGCCTGGAGGACCTAGGCCCCATGCCCTGTGTGGCCTAGGTGTTTCCGTGGGCCCAGCCCCAAGCTCTCAGGGTGATTCAGGGCCCCTGATGTGTCCAAGGCCCCCTACCACTAAGTGTCCAGGGCCGGCCATAATCCCGTCTCCAACCCTGCCCCCCCCAGGACCCCGTACCCACCCAGGCCCAAACCCCAGGGTCCAGATAGCTGGCCCTCGGCCCACCTCAGCCTGCACGCCCTCCTCCTGCCCTCCCTCATGCCCTGCTCACCCCTCCACGCAGTCACGCCAAGTCACGAACGTTCCTGGTCACCCATGTTTCTGACCTCAGATCCACCCCAGACATCAGTGGCCTCCAAGGCAGGTGGGAGGCGCTGAGGGGCCCCTTCTGTGCTGTGCATTGGAGCTCTGGCTCTGAGGGGCTGGAGGGGCTACCGGCCAGTACTCGACCACTGGCCGCCCCACCGCTCTAGGGGCAAGTTCAGCTGCCTTCCGAGGGATGCGATGGCCACAGCACCACCAGGGGGCGCTATGCGCCGCGGTCTCGGCCAGCGCCTGCCCGCTGGAGGGTGCAGCCAGGGAGCCAAGGGGAGGAAGGAGGGAACCGGCTCAGAGACGTATAGTGAGTCCCCCAGGGTCACAGAGCCAGTGAGGGTCCCAGGATCCAATCTGTCCAGCCACTCAGCCCCCAGCCACTGCACCCCGCATCGTCCTGCTGCTAGGGCTTGGAGTGAGATGCCCAGGCAAGAGGCAGGCGGTACACACTCGTCACTGTGTGACCAGGACCCAGGAGCCCTGGGTCCCCTCCAGCACGTCTGCTGGCCTCTCCATGGGACCACACTCAGCTACTGCCTGGCTCCGCAGCCTAGCTGGCCCGCTTTGTGCCAGAGGCTGGGGTGGGGTGAAGACCAGCCTCCATCGGAGAGGGGGCCTCCTGGGTGACTGAGTGCACCCAGGTGTGTGTAAAACCCACACCTGGGCCTTCAGGGGTCATTCAGCTGCTACCCAGCCGTGCCACCTCAGGGCCATCTCTTGATCCCCCCAGGGCCTCTGCACCCCATGTCTCAGCCCACATCCCCTCCCTTACATCCCACCCACCCTGCAAGTCCCTGCCTTCCTCAGGGCCTCTGCCCACATGCTGTCTCGTGGTTGGGGATGTGGCCTGTGATGGCATCGGTACTGTCCCAGAACATTCCAGCTCCCCCAGGGAGCCAGCCTGTGGCTGCGGGCGCCCGTGGGAGTGGCCTGAGCCTTCAGGGAGTTGCCATCCCTGATGCCTCTGCCACCCGAGCCCTGAGCGGGTGCAGTGAGCCATGAGGACCCGTGACGTGACGAGACGTGCACATTGGCAGAGCAGCCAGCCCTACCCTGACGGAGCTCCCATCCCAGGGCTCCCCCAAAGGCCTGGGCCATCGGTTGCTCTTAGTCCCTGGTGCCCACTGAGGGCCCGAATGTCAAATGAGGTTTCCCGAGAGCCCCTGCTTTTCCTTCACCCCCAGAGGCGATGCCACACTCCCAGCCCCACCCAGCCCACATTCAGGACCTGAAGGACCCAGGGAGAGGTGGGCAGGAGATGTAGCCTGGGGTGCTGTGGGCCATGGGGCACCTGGGCATCTGCAGCTAGGAGGTGCCCTCCCAAGAGTGAATCAACACGGTGGGTGGCCATCACAGCAGAGGCGGCCAGGACCCTGCAGCAGGGGAGGATCCAGCACTTCGCCCAGCCCAGTGTAAAAGCCGGCTGTCTGCCCCCACTCTCCCCCTTCCC